TCCCTCAGAATATTTGATGTGTGCTGTTTAGCTACAGATTTGGCAATTTCTTACTCTTCTGTTTCTTTATTTAACTTCTACTTCCTTAAAAACAAAATTCTATCGGGCCAACTGCCACTTTGGGTCATTCACAGTGACCCAGAGATTCCTGAGGTCTCAGAGAATCGTCTTTTAACTACCTCTTTATTTTCGAAGTTTATTTCTCAGCTGCATGTATATAATGCAGAGAATGCATCCAGAAATGGAAAATTTAGATTAAACTGCTCAACTCATAGAACCGCTTCTGTTGGCTTGGCCTTTATAAAATTCAAAATGTCATCATCATCATTATTCTCAATGGAACTGATCAATAAAATAAATCCATAACTCACCTCTGTTGCCTTGCAGAAAATATCCCAAACATACCATAGCAATGAAAACGCAATGAGTCTTTGGATTCTGCGTCTACGGGCCTCGGTGTTTTTTTCCTACTTCAGAATGCCTGTTGAAAGCTCCTGGAACAACTGCATTTCGGAAATGACTCCTCAAAAATGCTGTTCGATGTAAATAACATGTGCAATCTGGTATATTGTGTTGACATGATCCAGACAGTTGGCCATAGTATTTTGTAAGGTTTATCTGAAAATAGGTTAAATTCTTAATCATGGGATACTCTATTCAGAAATGTTATTTAATAGGCACAATTTGTGGAATGAAACTCTCTGATGAGCTAATTATTCGAATGAAAAGAGAGTCGTTCTATATACCATTTCTAAATTACCTTCAAAATATTGCAATCCAAGCATTTCAGACAGATTATTAACACATAACATTTTAATTATAAAAGTACCTATGTAAGCATAGCACAGTGAAGATGTAATATAGGCAATAAAATCTTAAAATAGTTATATGTTACCATACTCATATCAACATTAAATGGCTTTGGGTAGGTGGTAGAGTTGAAGTGAATCCTAACTTGGAGATAAAATAAGCATTCTTGGCTAAGATTATCATATATCCTAAATACACAGAGTGGCCCAAAAACTCTATACACATTTTAATAGCTGATAGTTCAATTTTGAAACCGAAATGTATTTTAATAAACACTGCCTTTATAATTACTCAAAGTGTGTGTATACATGTTTGGGGGACACTCTATATATTTAAATGTATAATTTAATTCAGATTTGTGCACCCACCATTATTATGTTTAAATAAAACTTATTTTAATAGGAAATTGCAGGAGTGATAACCTGCAGTTTCTCCTTGGAAGTACTTGATAATTCACCTCTGTCATATTAGACACGGAAAAGCTTGTGTTTATTTGCCTGTTAGTAATAATATCCGCAGGCCGGGTGCTCAGAGCACCTGCCGGGTAATATGCTGCAAATAATGCCACATAGGAGACCAGCACAGCGTCTGTCTCTAAGGAGCTTTACAGCCCTGATATTTTAGGATGAGCTCCAGAGATAATCCCCCAGAATAATGTTCTCACTATGATATTTTTTATTAAAAATAAATAAAGTGAACACCTCTCACTGATTTTATCTCTTTCCAATTTTTTTGTAAAGTAAATAACTAGTGATCATAGTCTCTACTCACGGATGTGCCAGATTTTATTCTGTAGTTTTCAGTCACTAAAATACATATTTTTTTTAACATGACGCCAGCCCGTATCACTGGCAGAAGATCAGCGCCTCATATTCTAATTCTACCCAAAAGAAGATTTCCTTTTATGATGGGAAGCGGATTGTTTAATTCTGTCCCCCAACAGTTGGCATCCAGAGAAAGAAAATGTTTCCCTGCGTTGATAAAACATCTGATAAGCTTCAAAGTCAAAATGAGGTGCTTGCTGAGTAAACTATGAAATTACCATTTTCATTTCAGGAGTGAGCCGTGGACGGATGGCCCCCCTATAAAGTGTGTGCATTGTTTAGACAAAGGCGGGGGGACCAAAGGCCCCGAGGCGGGTCTTGGCCGCCGTGGGAAACGGAGGTTGGTCCACCCGAGAGCACTGAGGGTGGCGGAGCTCAGCTGACGTCACAGGAGACCAGGGTCATGAGTTAAATGAGTCGCAGGTGACTTTCAAATCTAATAGTTCCCAGTGCAGCAGCCTTTAAGCATCTTTCACCTGCGGGGCGTCAGAGGAAATATACATGTTATATTAGTTTTAATTTGATTTTGTTCTGAATGCAACTTGATTTGCCACCAATGTAAGTTATTATATAGCTAATGTTTGCCATTGTTGGTTAATTATATATGAAAGTACTTTTTAAATAGTCTTATTAGCAGTCAATTATTAAGAATCATATTTACTTTAATTAAACTTTATTCAGATTACATTGACGTTAGAAGATAAAGTCTAGTGCACAGTTGACAGACATATACTAGAATTCAACCAAACGCAGCCGGCCACAGCTTTGGCCGCCCGGCGAGGCCCGGAGAGACCGTGCGCAGGCCGCCGACGCTCCCGCCCCCCTGACGGCCGCAGAGCGCGTGTTCTCCTGGGCCTAAGGTGCAGCGACATCCTGACGGCAGCCGCGCTCGCGGACAGAATGCCGCCTTTCTGTTCGTCCCCAGGTGACTACACCCCGTGGTTTGACTTTGTATTTATGCTTCAGGTTCCTCACTGGATGTAGAGATCCCTTTATTTTATATTGTTATTACCTGGTGGGTACACCGCTCACAGCGTGGTTAAAATGACAACTAAGTGTTGTGCTTTCTATGTATCAGAAATCAATACTTGTAACAGAGGAAATGAAATCAATGCCCGGCTGATGTAACATCTCAAATTTTTCTAATTACATCAGCCATCAGCCCGGCACGGAATGGACGTGCCATAAATACGTTCTGACGAGTAAACGCGGGTGAGAGAGGACACGGGACGTGCGGCCAGGACACCGCCTTCAGCCGCTCACGAGGGATGAGTGGGTACCGTTTATTAATACGCTTTGTAAAATTTTAAATCCAAGCCAGTGGAAAATTTTATTAGCAAGTATTGCAGTTGGGTACATACTGCAAAGTGTCCTTTGTTTTTTTAATGTAAAATATTTACTCACATTATAAGAAAATGTAAAGGTGCTACAAGAACATCTATTTTAAACCCACAATTATTTTAAAAGGTGAAAAAAAAATTACAAAAGAAAGTTATAGAAAGACCAGATTCCACGAGACCTCTGATCAATTAGACTATTAAAAATGTATGTTTTTATTTGTCTTGGCTCGGAGGCATTTGGGTGGCGTCAGGTCCGAGAAATGACTTTTCCATTTAGTGCCCGAGCGTCCTTTGAAGTCCTTTCGGCCAAATCCCGTTTATCCCGCCCCGACTCGCCTTCACCCGGGAAGGCGGGCGCTCGGGCGCAGCTGAGTGTAGCCTGCAGCCCCGCTGGCAGCTGAAGGCCAGGCCTCCTCCACCCTGCAGGCCCTGCAGGCCCGAGGGGAGCAGCACCCGGCCCGGGCTGTGCTGGGGCCGTGACCGTGACCGGGGCCGTGACCGTGACCGTGACCGGGGCCGTGACCGTGACCGTGACCGTGACCGTGACCGTGACCGTGACCCTGTCCGGGCGCCCAGGCCCTGCACAGGGTAAGACACACGCTTGGCTCCCCCTTAGCCACTGAGGGCGCCCCTGTGCTATACTGGGGGGAAAACCTGTGATATGAACGTTGGCAGCATCACCACAGTCAAGGTACTGAACGCACCCGCCCCCTCCCAGAGCCTCGTCTCCCTTTGTGGGGTGTGCGTGTGCGTGTGCNCCAGAGCCTCGTCTCCCTTTGTGGGGTGTGCGTGTGTGTGCGTGTGCGTGTGTGCGTGTCTGTGTGTGTGTGCGTGTGCGTGTGTTAAGAACATTTAACATGCGATCTCTCTTTGCACGTTTTTAAATGAACGCTACCTACTGTTAGCGACGGGGTCTTTTGTTTCTTTTGCACTAAACGCACAAGTACCATGCAGCCCGGCGACGGCACTGTTCGGCATTTGCCCCGGACAGTTAGAGACCGAGCCTCCCACCGGGCCTGGCGTGAACGCCTGTGGCCCTCCGGCCTCGGCAGCGCTAGGAACCAGGCGGCCGGCGGCCAGAAAACCGCGGAACAGCCTGGGCTGGGCCGGACCTCGGAACGCTGCCCAGCGGCAAACACGAGCGGCGTTGACACAGCAGCCACCTCGGCGGCTCTGCCGAGATTCCAGCGGGAAAAGACAGCCCCAAACGTCGCCAACTGTATGTTCATTTCTGGAAGATTCTTGAAATGGCAGAATTACAGAGATGGACAGGAATTCAGTGGCTACCAGGGGTTTAGAGGGGGGGCGGCGGCAGGGGGGCGGGAGCGTGTTTATAAAAGGGCATCGTGAGGCCCCTGTGGTCCTAGAAGGTCCCGCATCTCAGCCGGGCGGATGCAACGGCCGTCGGTGCCCCCGTCCCACCGTGCGTGGGAACTTACAGTTATCACCTCAGACTCTGAGATGTACAAGCCGTGTCTCCTACCCACGCGTGGCCGTGAGTGCGTGTCCCTGTGCCGTGGGCGTGGGCAGCCTCCCGCCTCCCAAACACCAATGGGTTCAGCCGCCGTCCGAGGGCCGCGTGTCAGCCGGCGGATCCCGCCTCGCGGAGACGGGGCTTTATCTCGTGTGCGCTGCGTTCAGCTCTGCATTTAAAATCGCTTCTGTTCTCTTATTCAGCATGTCTGTGTGTCTGTAATGAGATTTCTTCCCATTATCCTGGCCCCGTGGACGGCTGGATCCGACGACAATGCGCACAGTTCTTGCGCGAATTCGTTTGTACAGAATTAAATTTAAAGCAGAAGCTTCCAAGGACGTGACTGTCGGTCGTTGACGTTAGGCGACTAGACTTCTTTCCATTTTTTTCAGCTTTCCCTGGACACGATGCTTTATTATTGCTACACATTCATAATAGGATAGGCCATAAGAGCTTTTCAATTTCCCGTTCAAAGTTTCCAAAAGCTCGTGTCAGATTCATGATAAATATTTCCATCAAAATCTTGTGAAAGTACTTCTTTGTGCCTTTCAGGAAGAATCCCTCCCCCACGCGTGGGAGCCAGCGAGCAGCAAAGGGGCCACGTGAGCGAACCAGCGCTTCTCAACAGGAATGGAGGGGAAATGCTGTTTAGTATAGGTAAGTATTAAAATGCTTTTTAAAAAATATTGTTAATTAATATAATCTTAGCTTCAATGATGTGAAAGTTTTTACTCTGTACTTACCCTAATCTAGTGGATTCCAGTTGCAAATACGTTTCCAAATATACCTGAAGGTTATTATGCGTCTCCATTGCTGCTCTAAAATGTTAATAGGATAAAACATTGTTGGGATAAACATTCTAATTCTTATGCCTGGAAGCTGTGGTTGGTTTAAAAGGTGCAAAAGACCCCCTTTAAAAAGGTCCGTGATACATACAGAAAAAGGTATTAAACTTGCAATGTATCCGACTGACGGTCAGGTGCTATTTGTGCTGTGATTCAAAGGTAATGTCAGTAAGATGCTTAAGTGTGTTATTGGAATCTTGACATGCATATGTGTAAAATGCCCATTTACATCATTATTATGGTGATATCATGGTCTTAGTGGCCCAGTTTCAACAGGCTTACTCGCCTTTAAAATCTAAGCATCCCAACCTCAACCAAAAGCAGATCACAATTATAGGCGGGACCTTGAACAGCAAAAAATATATTGAGCTCTTGTTGTGCACTAGACATAGGCTAGACTTAAACTATATTAAAATTAAAAATTCTTGTTCATCCAAACAAACTCTTAAGAGATTAATTTTTTTAAACCCACGAAGTGGGAGGAGGTATTTGCAATACTTACATATGATAAAGGACTCATATCCAGAACATATAATGAATTCTTTTTAATGAATAAGTGAAATGCAGACAATCCAATAAAACATTGACTACTATACATCTTATACTTTTAAAATTACTTTTATTATTTTATAACATTATTGCTCACAATCTCAAATGTACTTGCAATATATTGCCCAATTTAAATTAAGGACCTATCTAAGCTTTACCCACCTATGGGTAACAAATTTCAAAACATTTTTGGATTGCCCTTATCATTCTTAATATTCTCCTTCACTGAAATTATTTTATTTCCTTTGGGTCACAGTGTGACTCTAATTTATCACGTGAAGCTCATGAGGTTCAAATCAGAACAGGCTAGATCCTGTGACGCCCAGACCGGCATGTATCGGGTTATGAGATGAACGTGAGCTTCTGCGCGTGCCTGGGAGCCGAGAGGCAGCTTTCGGGGCCTTTCAGCTGGTCTGTTAGGAGCGGTGTAGCCGCTGAGCCTGCTCTTCAGCTCTGTTCGGAGCAGGCACAGGCGGAAGGAGCCCTGCTTCTCCCGGGCGAGGACCGGAACCTGCGCACCAGCGCCGAGGGGGGTGTTGTTACAAAGGAGCCCGGATGTTTGGGGGGAAACGAAAGGTTTTGAAGTCTATGCTGCTGGATCATGAGACTGAACTTCAGATTATGAATTAATGCTGAACTAATCATGTCTTTTATGAATTTTTAAAACATATTTCATTCTGTTTCTGATATTTCTCTTTCCAAATATATAGCCATTTTGCCCTTCTAAAAATAACAGAACAAATCTATTTCTGGTCAAAATTAAAGTCAAGAGTTTGGCTCAATAATGCAAATAATGAAAGACTCTCTTAATTGATATATACAGTTGTGATCATCTGTGTCCTATTCTCTGCATGTTGTACTTTTATAAAAAGTTAATAAAAATGTCAGCATTCAGGTTCCAGAATACACCCGAAGACCTCTTAACATTGATTTTTAACTTTAAAGCTTTTCGGCCCCCAGTGCGTTCTTCACGTCACGGATGTTTTCTCTCTCCTGCAGTGTTGCCGACGCAAGCACGTGCCACAGTCATGCTTCCAACACGGTTTACTTTGGTCTGTTTGTCTGTCCCTTTTGAGGACAATTTAAAGCCCAGAGTAATTTAATGGAAAAGTTAAAAATATTTGGAACGGTAATCCCTCCCCAGGCGTTCTACACGGATCTTTTAAACAACCATCCGTAAAATGGTTATATTCTTGATAACCCAGCAGGGAGCATGTGTGTATATGTTCGCACCGTAATGCAATGAGAATAGAACGGGAGGGCTTAGTAGTGTTCTTCACGATGTCTCGTGGGCACGTTGCCAAAATGCTCAAGCAAATGGCTTTCCGTACCCTTTCTACCGAGTCCATATTAGCAATTTTCCTGAAAGCATCTTACGCGGTCCCGAGGGTCGTGGAAGCATCTTTGCCGGGAACAGAGTGAGCCGATGTGGAGTATCGATCCTCCGCGTCCCCCGGTTAGTCACACCTGGCATGCAGAGCAGCCCCGCTGTCCCTGGTATCTGCCGAGTCACAATGACGGGTTAACAGGCACCTTAAAAGATGCTGCTCGTAGGCTGGGTCCCTGCGGCACCGGGGAGATGGAGAGGGTGGTGTCAGTCATCTTCCAGAAACCCTGCCGAGGACAAATCGAATCTGCCTCTTTCCCGATGTTTTCCTGGGAAAGCAGCCCACTTACAGAGACCTAAGCCAGCCTTCCTGTCCCTGGTCTTACCGCCGATGACAGCGGAGCCCCCCATTCTCCGTGATGGGACCAGGCATCTGCTGCGAACAGATGCCCCCGCCCGGTCACACACGGCAGGTGACGGCAAAGCAGAATGCCATTCCCAGTCCTCAGGGTTGACTGAGTTGGATGCACCTTCTGTGAACATGCTGCTTAATTTTGTGGGAGTTGACTGCATTTCGGAGAATTTTCATGCTTCTGAGAATAGTTTAATGGTTCCTAATGCACTGAGGTACATCAGGATTTCTTGATTTCTGGCTTATATTTTGTCTTCAGGCTAACTCACTCACATCTGGCAGTTTCGGTTTCAAGGGCCCCTTACCTCGTGCTACAGATTTCCAAAGCTCACTTTTGCTCTAGATTTACAGATAATATGGAAGTTAGGCATCCCGATGCTATGCTCTCCAGCATTTTTAGGACCTAACTTGTATATTTATATAATTGGTCTCTTTATAATTAAAATCCTGGCATCAGACTTTCCATTGAAAACTACTTAAAGGGATTGGCAAATAATATTTATAAATATACCCACTAATATATATACACATTTATGTATTTGTATATCATATATATATAATATATACACATATAATGTGTGGATATAATGTACATATGTGTGTGTCTATATCTATACACATTAATACATAGATATATTGACTATATATGTTATGCATTTACAAGTCAAGAATACCAAGAATTAATTACTGGCAAAGACCAGAATCTAGATTCTCCTACAGATTTCCAAGAGAGCACAATCCTGCCAGCGCCTTGATTTTAGATTTCTAGACTCCAGAACTGTGAGACAGTTACTTTATGTTGTTTTGAACTACCCACGTGTGGTATTTCATTATGGCAGCCACACGAAACTAATACATATGCTCACTCTGTTGGTATGAAAAAATGGGGGGGGGGTACAATAGGCAGTGTAACCTTCAGAAAGGACCTGAAATATGGGCAGATAAAGGCTTTGAGCCTTTCAAGAACCTGTGCTTCTTGCTTTTATTACTAAGAATTAAGAGATTCAGGAAGACCCTAAATAAATAGGTAGATATACAACGATCATGGATTGGAAGACTTGATATCATTGCCTGTTTCTCCCAAAATGATTCAATATAATCTCACTCAAAGCTCAGCAAGCTTCTTTACAGAAACTGACAAATGAATTTTAAGTCACCTTCAAACACAAATACCCTAGAATAGCCAGAATACTCCTAAATTTAAACAAAGAGAGAGAATCAAAGTAATTGGCTGAGAGCTCAATAATAGAGATAGTGCCTATTAGGGTAAAGAAAAAATATATATCAATAGGAGAGAAGGTGGAATATAGAAATAGACTCAAGCATACAGGAGTTTTTTGTTGTTGTTTTTTATAAAAGTTTCTAAGGCAATCCAACAGTAAAGTGAGATTCTTTTTGAAAAATAGATCTGGAACACCTGGATGTCTTTATAGAAAAAAAAAAAAAAAAGACTCTCACACTCTAACATACTTCAGAGGCAAAAAATAATTCATAGTGAGCCATGAGCCTAAAGATAGCTAACATTATAGAGCTTAATGCAGATACATAACCAAACGTGTGTGTGAGCTCGAGGGAGATTTCTTGGCCTCCTGAAGACACTAACCATTGAAGAGAAGCTGGCAAACATCAAAATATTTACTGCTGTTGGGAACATAAAAGAATACACCGTCTTGAAGAACTCTGGGGTGATTTCTTGTAAAGTTAAACCCATATCTGGCCAGTGACTCGGCAGTTTTGTTTCAACTATTTCCCCAAGAGACGTGGAACTCGTGCCGACGAGAGCGCCTCAAGTTGCCTCATTCGTAAAGTCCAAAAAGAAAAAATGAGCATCACAGGATATCGGATACGTGTATATTTTTGTGTAATAATGGAAGAGCGTGACCTCCTGACGATGCATGGCCGCAACGTGGGTGAATCTCAAAATTGTTATGTCGCGTGAAAAAAGGCCGACAGAATGTCATGCATCCAGGTCCCTGTTTGAATTCTAAGAACAGCAGAATTAATCCCTGTGGGGAAATTCAAAGTGGCTCCCCCTTGGGCTAAACGTGGGCGAGCGTGGGCCGGGAGAGGGGACAGGGCCCTTCCCGGTGACGGGGTTGATACGCGTCTTCCAGTGAGAGGCAGTTACGTGGGTTTGTAGCTTCATCCAGACTCATCAAGCTGAACATCTAAGACCTGTTGTGCCCTTTATTGTATAAAAATGACCACTCGGTTTTAAAAAAACCAAATAGCCGAGCAAACATCTTCCCCCGCTTTTATTCTGATTATACTAGAGCCCAGGGCATGATTTCACAGCTCGAGGAAGTGAGGCAAAAATAATAATTTCCCTGGACTCTGCGCAGCGAAGGGACGACTTTATTAAGCCCATAAAGTACGCGGTAGGTGGGGGCCGTGCCCTTGTCCAGATGAGCATCTGCCACCCCAGAGCCGGCAGCCGAGGGCGTCGCCAGGGGACTGTGCAGGTCGCCGTCGGGGCCGCGG